GAAAGAAGATCCGTTCATAGCACTTTCAGCTTCTTTATCTCCAGTTGGTCTCGAGCTAGTAGCCATTGTCATAGTTTCATTTTCTTGCACTTGGGGACAATCTGATTTGGGAGCTTATCTTTAAGATACCTCGTTCTTCGGAACTTTGGCCTTGGCTGTATCTACAATACGTTCGGCGAATGTTGCTACTTTGGTAGAAGTTTCAGAATTCTTAGATGGAAGTAGTCGACAGTTAGCTATAACGTGGTCAATCTTTCCACATTGCAAGCACGACCCATCTATTTTGCGCTGGTTCAACTCAATACGTGAAACCCACTTTGCACGGTCTTTATCGAGACCGGTCATCCTTATACTGCTATCTAAACCCTTAATGTATAAGTTGGCCTTGGCTGGAAGGTGGTGCAATATTTCTTGTGAGATTTCCCCTAGTAATTTGCCCCCAGCAATGCCTTGTGTTCCATCGTCGAAGTACCCTGTCTGACCCAGCAGGTAATCCCTTGTAATTTCCATACCAACCTCGTCAATTTCAGAACCCAGGATCGACAGGTAATCAATTAGTTCTCGGAGTGTTCTAGGGCACAGACTACCAATCATGTAATTTCTAGTCGTCTTATTCAAAGAGTTTCGTAACTGGTATATCTTGCATTCCTCATCCCCTTTCGAACTGGGACTTCGCGAGAGTAACTGCTGGAAGCGCGGTAGATAAGATGATAGGTTCTCGTCCCGAAATTGTCGACATGCATGAAATAGTGCGGCCGCCAATTGTTCCTCATTTCTGTCGCGGTAGGTATCATTCATTGCCTGTAACAGCCCTAGCGCATCCCATTCCATTCCATTTGCAAGCATACTCTGAAACTGACCTGTGATCATATCTTTTGCTGTTCCAGTTACTGCATGACTAAATAGTTGAATTAAAAAGTCAGACGGTTGAAGAATATTCCGCTCCTCTACGTCACGCCTGTATATGTACCTAAGAATTCCATGTGTAATTGCCCATTTAGTTCTATCCTTGTGATCGTATGCTTCTGGCCATTTAAGTGGTTCTTCTTCAATGAAGCATTCTCTGCGTTCTGATTGGCCTCCCACATTAGTTCTTGACGGTTGCAGGGGAGTTTTTTTCTCATTCTCCGATCGTTCCTGCATTGTTTTCATCATTTCGTTCATCTGAGATCGTAGAATACCAAGGTCTCTTCTGTGTTCCATTTCTCTTAATCTCATTTCTTCGACCAGTCGCTGCATTTCCGATTGTATTTCTCCGTGTGGCATAGATTTCTGGTTCGATAGACCAGTTGCCACAAAGTCTGTTCCGATAGTAAAATTGTTCATTTCTGAACCCATTGTTGATTCTTAGAATCCCTGTGCATTGAAACCAATAATTAAAGATGCCCTAAGTCACAGTTATCTACGACTGCGATGTACTTAATAACGGGCAAAGGATTTGAATGATATAGTTTATATTGTGACGGAAACCGAGTTGGTGATGAATAAATCGATTTAATAAACTATATGAGGAGAAAAGCTAACTCTAGCTACTACTAACAGGTATTTATAGGAGTTAATCCTCCTCGTGAATCTACAGACTAGTGACTTGTCCTTAGGCACAATACTTCTTACCCAGCCACGTATTTCCAGGTGTCACTAAGTTGTAATAACGCTTCAGCCTCCTGAGTAGTAGTCCCGTTTCGTTCAGCTTCATCTCCCCCTCATACAGCCTCATAGCAAGAATTCTTAGTAACAGGCTTAGGTATGCACCTAAGCTCAAACAACGGTCAAACCGTAACACTGAGCAGGTAGCGTACAGTCTGGAGAGAAATGGTCTGGATAGTGAGAGTTCCTTAGGGTTACGAGATTATGAGTCAATGGCAAGCTCCCTATAGGATACTGGGGCATGTTGGTCCCAGTAGTCTTTCATAGCTGTTGATACTTCTGCCTTGATGCGATTTTTGGCGGTATCAAAAGAAACGTACCCACGGGGTATAGGCGGGGTTTTTGAAGGCCCCTCCCGGGCAGAGGCGTCGGCCAAAACGTTACCTAATATATCAGAGTGGCTTGGGATCCAATAAGCCTTGACTTTCCCGGGAGGGATGTGTGGGAGCCGGGTGCAAAGAGGCCAGTCTTGGGAGAGGGCTTGTATTTGTTGAAAAACAACTTGCGACGAGCAAATTGGGGATTGAAATAAAAGGCGAGCTACTTCCAGGTTATCTGTGAGTATCCAAATATTTTCTGAGAAGCGTGCTGTTGGTAGGGAGAGCGCAGCTTTGAGGGCTTCTTTCACAGCGGTCACTTCTGTGTCGAAAGGAGACAGCGTCGAGTCAAGGGACAGACTCTCGCAGTAAACCATCTGGCCAGCTTTGAAAGGTAACAATTCCACCGCCTGTCCTGGGAGATTCTGCTATCTCAGATCGAGCGCCATCTGTATAGACTGCTAGATCTCTGAAAGGGATACCAGAAGGGAGATTAATGGGAGGATGCGTAACTCGCCTTACACTATTATACCGTGTCTCACTTTTAAGCCATGGCGGCTGAATCAGAGGGTCGATCGTTTCAGTGTTCGGAATTTGGAGAACCTAGCCCGCAAGACGGGAGACTCGTCGATTGTGTGCCCGGATCCATGTGGCTCTTTGCCGGAGTGGGTGTGTTGTAAAGGTAAGAGCTTACGGAGGTTAATTGGCAGAAGGTTTACGGATGATTATCGATGAATCAATGTGAGCTGCTGATATATTTGATATTCAGAACTATGAGGATTTAGGAGATTTAAAGCGCTAATTATATACATATCTCAGGTAGCTAGACTCTCGCCTTATTTACCCAAAACAGTATCACGGAATATTCTAGTATCCTCCATCTGGAAGTATAATCTAGAAACACTTTCTATACAGTGCTCCATTGTTCCTCTACTCATCATGGAGCCACCTGCAAAGTTCTTCCTTCACCCTCAGTGATCATTACCCTCGTGCATTGTAATCCTAGCCATCACCAGCACAACAGGGTGTCCAGGGTCCAGGCGTTGGATGCGCAGTGCCGCGAATTTTGATTTAGAGTCCAGCTCTAGATCGGGAGGGAGGAGACCTGATTCACGGTACAGAATAGGGATTGGCGTAGTCCGATATACAGGTAGGATAGCTCTGGCCCCCGTTAGAATAACTTTGCGAAGGATGGATAGGTGTCCTTCGACTCAATTCGAGGTGAGTCTATTGCTGTATCTGGTGCGGCCAGGCCACCAAGTCTCTGCGCCATAGTAGGCTATGGGAAGTGTGCAAGCTAATATGGCTTGTCGGATAAGTTGGGGGGGGCGCTCCTCGGACAGTGTTGCTGAGAGATCGGAGTGCATTGGCAACTTTAAGAGCCTTCTCAGCTAATATACGGACATGCCATTTAAATGAGAGGATCCGATCAAAGTAGACCCCTAGCCAGCGCTTGTAGGGTTTATTTGGATGCTCAGAGACCCTTAAATCTCAGTAGGAGACGGAAGGGGTTGACAAAGGGTCGCGGTCAGCCCGTTTTCGAGAGAAGTTATGTAGTTCCGATTTTTCTCGGTCAAAAGTAATGCCTTCCCTGTCCCCCCACTCTATTGCTTCCGCCAGTGAGTGAAAGAGAGCTGTGCAGTTGCTCAGGAGTGTTGTAATCTAACTTATCGACTTTAAACTTGTTGTCAATATTGTATATGTATGTCTGTTATCACAGACATTGGAAATAATTCATGAGATTGCTTAATGAGAGGCTAGTATTGATTCCGATATAATATTGTAGAAGACTTGTCCCAACTATCAGAGGGCTACAAGGTCTTTATCTATCTACAGGTAAATTCCCCATATTCCAACCACGCTAGCCATACAGGACGTAGCATATAAAACTTGATTTGTATCATCAGTTTAGGGCTGAGGTTTACTGTGCATATGCTACTCGAGTCGCATGTCTGACTACTATGCGACATGCTTAGGTATCAATCTAACAACCCACACCAAAACCGAAACTACTCATAACCCTGATGATGACCCCATGAATAATTGGAACAGTAGCCTGCAACATAGCACAATTAGGCTAGACATCGTTGACCAGGACCTAATCCGAACACTAACGCTTTTCATCCTCAGACTTCATGGTGAACAGTAGTTGTATAGCATGTGATGCTATGCAGGGGAGAAGGAAGAGGATGGCGAAAGCCGCTAGCCAGATCTAAGCAATCTAGCCCACTTGTAGATGGAGAAATCCTTTTTTTGTATATAGACAATACAACCCTAACTAGTACAACAACAATAGTAAGGAACTCATACATCCGCACCTCAGTTATCTCATACATTGTGACCCATAAACCTGACTCTCATATCTATCACTCCATAACAAAGCTTCAACAAGGAGGTTAGACCCCGTCTCAAGGAGAGCAACATCATCAGCTTAGCCGAATCTTTTCCTCTTCATTCCCATCTTGAAGAGCTGTGAAATGTAGAGTATAAACAGGATTGGCGAGGCAGGTGAGCCTTGTGGAAGACTGCAGTCCACATGTTGTGGGGGGCCTGTTACTCCATTGATACAGACGCACACTGTACGTCGTGAGGCAAAGGATCCCACCCAGCGCACCAGGTTTTCAGGCCATCCTTGCTCTCGTAGACGGCGGACAAGTCGTCCCGGATATACTGTGTCGAAGGCTCCCTTGACATCTAAGGTGAGCATACTGGCTGTAGAACCCTCGTAAAGTGCCTTCTCTGCATCTTTGGTAAGGCAGGTAGTTAGGTCAACAGCCGATCTGCATGGGAGAGCGCCGAATTGTTGGCTCGATACCACTTTATGCCGGATGGCAGTCCAAGCCATTCTTTTTGCAATAAATCTCTCTAATCCTTTGCCAAGTACAGAAAGTAGTGCAATTGGGCGGTAAGATCGGGGCGAAGAGTAGTCTGTCTTGTTCGGCTTTTGTATCATCACCAGAATGGCCTTCCGGAAGCACTCAGGATGGTGCCCAATCGAAAGGCACGCGTTAAACAGAGAGAGTACTTGTTGTTCAATCAAAGGCCACGCGCGTCGGATAATGGCTGTGGATATTCCGTCTGCACCAGGAGCGGTGTTGCCAGCACGTAGGATGGAGTCTTCGATTTCCTCGTCGGTAAGAGATGGGAATGGCAGTGAGTTTGAAGAAACTGTTGGAAATCCATAGGGATGTTACCAACTGCTGAGGGGTTTGCGAGTAGATTTTGCATAAGAACCTCCATTTTTCCGGCAAGACTCTGGACTGGAGACCGTTCTGGGAAGCGGAAGTCTTTAAGCGGGCGTAAACAAAAAGTTCCCGTAGATTTATGCCATTCAGTTACTCCAAATATCTCCTTAGCCGTGCGAGCCCTCTCCAACTTGGTCTTGAAAAAATTGGTTTTTGCTATTTGTACTGTTTTCCTATAGGCTTTTTGGGCATCATAAACACTACTATCATTGGAAGAAGACCGTAGAGCTATCTTGTAGCCCTTTCTAGCCTCTTTGCATGAATCGTTCCAACTTGGATTGCCATGTCTGGCACCCAGAGCACGCTTTGCAGCACCGCAATATGCGTCGTGTATAATTTGCACGAGAACCTCCGCTTGCTTGTCTAGATCTTCACTTGAAGGGGATACTGGAAGGGGGCCTAGACCTCCACAGCCTAGTTCCAAGAGTTGCCTGAATAGGGTTGGGTCCAATGTGTTGGGTCGGAGCCGCCCTTGAGGGAGCGGAGGGTTGGCCCAGCCTACAGTTGCTAATAGTGGCAGATGGTCAGACGTGGCTGCGAGATGTCGAGCAATGCCACAGGAAACGTTATTTACAGTAAGACTCGTGCCAAATGCCATGTCTAGAACGTTGCCTCGGTTATGGGTAGGCTTGTCAGGTGGGGATAGGAGGATAAGGGGAACAGAATCCAGCCACTCCACAACCTGCACGGCCCCAGGAGGGGGGCCACGTCCTATTGAGGGCTGCCACCTGGAGTGATGTAGGTTAAAATCACCAAAAATTAAGTAGTTTCCCAAGAGAGAAGCCGTCAGAGTAGCCATGAGAGCATCAGCCCCGTTACCTGCGCCTATCGAGCCTGGGGCGCGTTGTATACATTGACTAGTGTCAGCGTTTGCCCATTTTTCTGGGATAGGCAAATGAATAATAGGTCAGAGGAGATGTTTGCATAGATTTGTTCGGAAATAATTCCTACCCCCTTCCGCACATAGGAGATTACTCTAGGGCGAAGAGCTGTCCAATCATCAATTGTAGAGAAAGATTCGAATAAGGGGTGGCGAGAAGTTATGCGTCAGGAGAGGTCTCTGGAGATGTAGGGCTCTTGGATTAATACTACGTCAATCCACTCTGTGTAGGCCTGTGCTAGTGCAATATAATGTGCTGTGCAACTTCTTCCGGTGTTTAGGGAGAGAATAGTCAAAGTCTTTGTGCAATTTTTGCGACGAGTTGTGCAACTCATTACAGCTGCATTTGGTCCTCGTTCAGATCTCCCTCGTCAGCGAGACTTTCAAAGGGATTGTTCAATCGTACGCGCTTTGCTGCACTTGAAGTTGAGTGATCTGTCGAGGGGGCTTGAGCGTAGGTTGTTGCAGCAGGGCCTTGAGCTGTTGATAAAGTAGAGCTGTTGTTGACGTTGGATGATGCCAATAAAATGTCTTTAGCAGGCGCTTTGACGCAGCCAGCTTCTACTTGGGCGCGAAGTCGGGCATCAGCGCTAATTTTCCTTATAGCGCTCACCTGAGACTTGGATTTGGGAGCTGAAGATTGATTTGGGCGGAGTGGACAGTTTAAGGAGTCCGCAGGATGGGGCCCGTGGCAATGGATACGACGCGGTGGGCAGACGTGGTCTCCAGTGGCCGCACATAGGCAGCCATGATTCTCTTTGGTGTGCTGAGTAGAGCCGCAGAGGCTGCATTGGGGAGCAGCTGCGCAGCTACGGCTGTTGTGCCACAACCAACACCTGGTGCATTGAATTGTTGTGGTGCGACAAGGTAATAGGCGTACATATGTCCTACACCCAAAACAATAGAGAGCTCGAGGTAGGCGGTTGTGCAACTCCGGGAAGCGGACTATCCAGGTCGTAGAAGGGGAGCGGACGTTTTGATTGTTATCCTGGGAAGCCTGAATGGCTACCGGCGCCGCTCCTGCTGCAACTTTCAGCGCCTCAGAGATAGCTTCGGGGGAGACTGCTTGAAGACAGTATTGAAGATTTTCGTTCAATGTACCGTAGTTCCGAGAGACATTCTCGATCCTGTAGGAAGTCCATGGAGATGCACGCTCAATTGGTGCGTTTCCAAAAAGGCCTACAGAGTTACCTTTTTCTGCCAAGTCATCTGTATGGCCTTTACTAGGGCAGAGTGCGAAGCCAGTATTTGTGGGCAGGACATTGGAAAGTAGTTTGTTGTGCTCCTCTAGTCTAGTCTTTAGGAGTGTCTGCAGTGCATAGCCCGAATAGCCGCGGAGTGCGCTATCATTTGGAAGGCGTACAAACAATATATTGTCTAATTTTACCGCTTTGGGCGTATTAGTTCCTTGGATATTCTTACCTGTTTGGGTTGGTTGCGTTGTGTGTGAAGTTGGAGAGATACTAATCCCACGTCTTGCCGCGCTTGAGTAGCTTTTAGAGTCAGGTTTGGTTGAGTGGGGAGAGGAGGGCTTAGCTTTTGGAGGGGCAACACCCTGAACGTAGGCCTCGAAATGCTTGGAGACCACGAGGGCAAGCTCCGTTGTGCAGGCGTGTAGAGCACGGGACTGGTTAACAGGAAGATCCCCTTGTTGTATGCTGCTACAATGATGGTCAAGTAGTGAGGCTAGGGTGCTGGAAAGGTCATGGCATTCACTGGCGCGGTCGGCGGCAGTCTGAGCGCTTCTTGAAAGCGACTCTTGGATTCTGCCCATGGGTCTTGGGAAGGCATCATAGTCATTGTAATTGACAGGTTTGCAGGAGGTAGAGGACTTAGGGGCGTCGAGGTCGATCCCTGGTGGATGGCATGTAGCAGTAGCTACTTCCATGGCCTCCGGCGCGTGGTCCACGTTCATTGGGAGGACCATGCCACAGGAAGATTGTAGCCGGAGTTGAGATTTAAATATTGAAGAATAATGTGACAAGTGAATAAGGCATTTGTCGGTATGTGTAGAGCACATGAAAGAGTGAAGGCACTAGCATGTGTAACAGCTTGTGAGCCGATTATTTTGTATCACGTGATTGTATTCACGTGCTTCTATAATTCTACAATAGTCAAGCTTTATTCCAGATCAGCTCAGCTGTAACTGGAATATTCTGGTAATTGGTAGCAAGACTGGGAACTACTATGACTGAAATATACCAGAAGCAGATATCAGCCAAGAACGAGTATTCTAGAGATCTCCATAAATGTATAAGTAGTTGAAGTAATACTCTGATAGTTAGCCATAGAGAAAATTATAAACTACCTTTGTATATCTGATTGCTCCCGCATCGACGCTTGAACCGTGACAACATGTAACATCTCTCAAAGAGGAACTAGAAAAGTCCCTACACAAGTAAGACTGAGACCAAACCTCGGAGAAGCTTATAGAGATGATAACCTTGTGATAGTGTTACGGTTTGACCGTGGTTTGGCTTAGGTGGAGACCTAAGCGGAGTTTGGGGGCGTATTAGGGAGAGTGTTACATATTATCTTGTATCAAGCAACTAAGTTTCACTTGGCCACATTACATTGGAGCCAGGAAGGAATGTGAGACGGCGAAGTAGAATTGCCAAGTGAGAGAGTCAGCTAGTGTGACGGGCTGTGCCCGGATTGGGACTGGTCACTAGGACCACCCAGCTAGATATTTAAGCGTCAACAAAGTAGCGCTTACAGATAAGCAAAAGGTTGCATAGGGAAGAATGCAAGGTTGCGCATGAGGAAGGACCCCAGGGAGTACGTACTAAGGGGGGAGGATGTCACAGGAAAGAGGGTAGCCGGGAGAATGGAGTATTCTCAGGTAGGCTAGGAGGGGAGCTTAAACGCGACGCTGAGGAGGACATAAAGGACAGGAGCCGCCGTAGTCGGATTAGCTTCCTAAGGAAAAATTATCAATTCCTATTGAGTTAACGTCTTTCAAGTACTTCTGAATTCTTTAAACCCTTCACAGCTAGATGGCAAAGATGACAACTGGCAGTGGCGGAGCAATATGTTATTCTCACCAACAGAGTACGTACTGGATGAACTAGAAGGATGTACAAATAGTCATTGCCCATAGTTGTGGTACTTCTCTCTTTATATAGTTTAATCTTTCTAGAAGTACACTACAACCAGCTTGGTTTCGTCATAGGTAGCAACTGGAATCATCTAGAAGTGAACTGATCTTAGAGGGAAGAACTTAGAATGTACTAAATCTATATGTACTTGTCAAACATCTGGTAGTTTGGAACCCACTGAATAAAGTAATGAGAATCATTAGATATTGGGATGACACATCTTCTTGGATTAACTTACTCGAGCTTTGATATCTCACCAGGGACATGGTGATCAGGATGTTCAGGATAGTCAGGATAGTCAGGATAGTCAGGATAACAAGGATGTTCAAAGCTCCAACTTAAAATCTTTTGATCTTCAACACCTGTAATATATTTCATATGTAATTTTGGGAAACAATGAGAAGATAATCTCCCCCCGAAATAGTTTCAGATGGGTATTGTGACAGGCTTTGCCCAGATTTGGACTGCTCACTAGGACCACTCCGTCTTCGAGTTTAGGCTATGGCGGAGCAACGCTCACAGAAATGTGAATGGGGCGCTAGGGAGGTATCAAGGATGGCACGTACCAAATAGGAAGTATGGTACAGAACAATAGACGAGCCGGGAGGAAATGATGATTCTCAGGTGGCCAATGGAGGAAGTTAAGACTAGTCTACGCCGAGGATATAAGGGATGGGAGAGTACGTGATAGATTGTCTTCCAAAGGAAGAATTCACTAATTCCTATTGAGTTATTGTCTTTCAAGTACATCTGAATTCATTAAACCGTTACAGGTATATAGCATCAATGCTGGAGAGGAGTCGAGGAGAAGATATTTCATCAATACAAGTTTACTTTACAATTTTCATTTAACCCTCAGTGTTTAACAATACTTGGCCTAGTATGTGGGACTTAGCTCTCCAACATTGAATTGTGAATATACCATCATTGTTGTGTTATCCATGTAACTTACTATGGTACATGCTTTAGGTCGCGTCATAGCATATGCACATAACTGTGGAACTAAACCACGGGGTGTTTAGTGTGTAATGCATGTGTGGGTATACTGGACCAGACTAGAACTCGATGGAATAGAGATAATGGAATCAGCGAGAGACTGATAAACTGAGAGAGAACGAGCTGGTCATTTCTCGTAGGAGAGAAATGATATAATAATGGAATGTTCTAGCACTAGGCTGTGAACAACACAGTAAGTCTGGAGCAAGATTTAAGGAGGTCTCAACCTCCATCCATTCATTGTAACTAAGTTACCTTTATACGAGAATATAGAGTCAAGTCTTACATATCACGAGAACACACGCGACAGCAATCATAGAGACCTACTGTGAGCATAACTTCCCCAAGAGTATCCATCGTCCTGCTCCTTCACAGCCTATTTAATATAACAATCATCCATACAAATGCTCTTTGCTTTCTATAGTTGATCTGTGACAGTGGGTGCGCTTGGAATGGCTCTTCTAGGATCACACAAGTAATCTCCTCAAAGACCCACTCTGTGTCAACTGTTTCAGCGCTCCTCAGTGTGTTAACCTTCACGGGCACATTGGCTATGCGTGAGGCGAAAGTATTTGAAATTGGATTGGGTTTGATGTGTCACGGTTTCAGTACAAAATACTTGGG